TATCAGAATCTTATTAATGTTATTTGCTCTGTTCTATTAATTTATGACTTTCCCTTAATGAAAAATGCATCTAATACAGCGTATATATCTAAAGTGGTCTTCAAGTCTGTAATGATATAATGAGTGATAATAATACAGTAATAATCCACATAATACCTGATGACTTTCAGCTTTTACAGTTAGTCTAAAGGCAAGTTGAAAACACTGGGTTTCATTGCAGGAGAGAATATCAGAGGAAAGAAGGTAGACCAAAGAGGGAATGAAAACCTGGGAGGGTGAGGGAAAAGTAGGGGGGATGGTATCTTTATATTATATAAAGAGAGTCAAGAATATACTGAACTATATCCAGTAGTTAAGAGAACAGTAGAGAGTCAAGAATATACTGAACTATATCCAGTAGTTAAGAGAACAGTAGAGACTTAAGTGAATTATCAAAGTAATAAAGGTAAGCGACACTAAATATTACATAAGTAAAATAGAGCTGAACAGAAGATTATGGGGAAGTTAACACTTATTGTCCAAACTTGATTAAACAAGAAATGCTGGCACTTTCTAGCATTCCATGATATCCTCATAAAAAAAAAAAAAAAAAAAGTTAAAAATGTGACTCTAGGGCCCTCCCTGGTGGCGCAGTGAATTAAAGCACAGCACTAAGAAGCTAAAGCCTCTTCCTCATGAGTTGGATTTCCGCCTGCCCCGGAGGTGACCACAGGGCGCGGTAGACCTCTCCTGACCCGCCCACTGCTCCCCTCAGCAGTGTACTTCGTCCATCTGCCTGTTCTGCTCCCCGCTCTGTCTCTGGTGAATCCTCTCACCCTCCGCATCTCTGGCTTGTACCCCAGTTCTATATGAATAAATAAATCTTTAAAAAGTGACTATAGCATCAGAGTTGGATGGGATGGAGTGTGTAGACTTTACATTTTACTTATCACTTATAAACCACTATACTCATTTGATATGAATGTATTATTAAGACTGTTAAAGGATAAAAAAATAGGGAAATAGTCAACAGGAAAACAATAACCTAGTAGTTTACAGAAGTGCAGTTTACCTAGTTTTTAGAAAAATGTGGACTTTCCAAGTTCTCTTCAAATCTTAAAATGACTCTCACTGAACAATCTCATTCAAACTTAATAGCTGTTTTCCTAATCTGTTTCTTTTTAATTTCATGCTAACTTCAAACTAAGTTGTCTGTGTTTATTTTATTGAGTCTTTCATATAGGACTGCTTGAATAACACTTTTTGAAAATGCAAATATTTGCGAAAGCAACATTGTAACATTGATAGTGATGTTAACTACTTCAGTATATATTCCAATCACCTAATAACTGAAAGTTTTTGAGTTCAGTGACATAGAAACATATATCAGAAGCAACAACTGAGTTCAGAGCTCTGTAGTGCAAGAGGAGACAACGGAGACAGTCAAGGACGGGAAGACTGGAGCCATCAGGAAAGGGACAGCACAGATTCTCAATTTATACAGGTGGGGAGATGGTGTGAATGGGGCGAACTGTAACAGTAAGGAGGTGAAGCTGGCTTCTGTGCAGTGACCGTGAGGGGTAACCCCCCTTCAGGAAAACACTGAAGCTTCTGAGAACTACTGGGGGAATTTAAAGATTAAGCATCCCCAGAAACTTGGCGGGATGGACGGAGTGAGACTTTTGTAACGGATGACCAAGCATTGTGGCGGCTGTAACTGTCGCGGGCCTCAGATTTCAAGGCAATCACAGGGTAAAAATAAGGTTGTACTCCTTGGGAGTTGGAGGTTTTTGCAAACGAGCAATAGAAGATGGGAGCAAAGAAGTTTAAATAGCAGTAGAAGAAGTATTTTGATTCTCTTGACATGCTTGATATTACCAAGTAGAAGAGAAAAGCTAAGCGACCCTTCTGGGCCAAAATGAGCTAAAATTGCAAGAGACGACGGAACTCGAGTACTGACTTTGAAATTACTAGTGGTGGTGTCTGCTGTCAGCCTCTGACTCACACATGGGCTGTTCTCTGGGATGGCCGGTATCATGTGGAGTCTGAGGGTGAAAAGAGGGGGAAAGGTCTCCTTAATCTCAAGCGCTGAGCAAATGTAAGGTGTTGCTGCATAAATGACCAAGGCTAATAAAAGTAACATCCGTTAACCGGAAAAGTGATACCGCTTCAGGCCAAATGTTTTCATTCCTAAGGTTATGATGAGAAAAGAGTCAGGGATCGGATCTTCTGGACCTGACTAACAATCACCTCAGTTCCAGTCTTTCAGCTAGATACCTTTAGAACTGGACTTGAGAGACAGCACTACACAGGCTGACGCTCGGCCATGCACGTTTGACAGTCACGTGATGACGCAGCACGATCTTTATCAACCACATTAGACGATGCAACGTGAGTTGTTTAGAAGAGGAAACAGCCTGCACTTCTTAGTGATTTTGTTTTCGAGAGGCATTCAGTAGGTCAGCCACTCGGGGATGACCCCAGTGGCCGGAAGTACCATGAGTGACAGCAATGGGAGAGCAGAGTGGGAATCACCAAATTGGCTCAAATTTGACTTACGTGTTGCTTTTAGTTGGTATTTTGACTCCCTAATCTTTGGGAATGACAGTTGACTTAAGAAGGAAAAAAGGCAGCGACACTTTTGCTCCTTCAAACACTGCAACTATTTGTGGAACCAATATGTCACACTCAGATAAAACTTTCTGTCACCACAGTGCTTCTCCGTGTGATTTTGGACTGCAGCCTTTATCCTGAAACAAGTCTGGTAAAATGTGACAGTTAAATTTTCGTATCTTATTTTGCAACACAGTTGATAGAGCCTCTGCTTATCTTTATTGGAGTTTCATACTAGATGCCAGTTCTGACGACTAGTTAACATGAGAGAGTGGTTCGAGACCGACATTTATTAGTTTAGAGCTATTAACACACGGAACTCTTTCATGGTGATAAACAGTAAAAGAGTAAAAGCTTAATGTTATGGAATAATTTAAAATGAGAAGGAGGGAAGACTATGGGGGGGCCTGTGGTGATGACAGGGGGTGAAGTATTGTTTACAGTGAACAGCAAAGTAAGTAAATATATAAAAACAAATACAAAATAAAACATTTCTGATATAATGATATGAAAAACTTTTTTGGAATGAATCGGTATTCTGATTCCAGCCCTACTATGTGGTTATTCTGTTGTTTGAAAATAAATGACGAGAAACTGAAAAAAAAAGAAAACCTCCAATAAAAATTATAAAAACAAAAAAATGAGGAACATAAAGTAGTCTGAAAAATGCATATCTCTTTCTTTGAACTTTTACTCTATGGGATTCTTAGGTAGAGTTGGAGTTTGCATAAAATACACACTCATAACTAACGACAGTTATGCAATACACAGTTAGGAGTTCTAAATCTCTTTCTTTTTTAAAGATTTATTCTTTTATGCACACAGAACTGGGGTACAAACCAGAGGTGCAGCGTGGTGAGAGGATTTCCCAAAGACAGGTGGGGAGCAGAACGGGCCGATGAACTGAAATACACCGCTGAGGGGGGCAGCAGGAGTGTCAGCAGCTACCCCCCCACCATGTGGGTCAGGACTGGGCCGGGGATCGAACTCATGCTGAAGCAGCTTCAGCTTCGTAGTGCTGAGTCCTACCCGCTGCGCCCCCAGGGAGGGCCCTTAAATCTCTTTCTTTACCCTGCCCCCCTCCTCTGCAGTTTAGATATACACATGCCTAAATATTTGGGTGTGGATTTCTCCGACACTTCATTCCATCTGAGCCCACGCTGAGTGACACGTGCTCACTGGCTTCTCTATCTGGCCTCTCACCTTGCTATCTCTCCTCCCAAAGAGAAACGTTCAACTAGATCAGTGCTTCCTCTGAGTCCAGAGCCCTCCATTTAATTATGCATCCGTCCTGGTAATTCTGTATTCCTACTAACCCAGGCGTGACCCCTGACTCCCAGAGCATCCTCGCTGCTCTCACTGGCCCTGCATCACCTCACGGCTCTGTTTCCGGAGCCCCTGCATCAGGCTCCCGATTTCCACTTATATGTCCTACCTGCTGCTTCATTCCATTACCCACCTGGGTGGCCTCTGGCCGTCACCGCTCTGATGCTGGGCTCCTCATCTCTCAAGCAGATAATGCATTTTCCTTACTTCTTGAAAGGTTTCTTATCAATATATGTATACACACTCACACATGCCACACATGCAATACCCACACAGACTGTGAAGACTAAATGTATGTGAAGAGAAAATGAGTGGCCAGAAAAAACCTCAAGCTCTGACTGCGGCCAGGCATCCCAGCAGCATGTGTGAAAGAGAGTGGTTAAAATAGATTATTGTTAAGCTACACAATCAGTCACGATTTTCAAGCTCACTTCTTAATAATGTCTTCATAGATTTTTTATTGCATGACAGAGCAAGACACATATCATATATCAACTGTGCTATATAGCACTTGACTTCTTTAATGCAATGCTTAACTATAAATGTCTATAACTACAAATGAGGTATTTAAATGCGAAGATACTTTAGATAGATGGCAATACCTATCATTACAGAATCATCATTTCTGCTGAATTGCACTTAAAAGTTAGAGCTCCAACTGCTTCTACCATTGGAAAAGTAATAATAACAATTATAACGATAACATGAAGTATTAAAGACTGAACATTCAATTTGAAGCTAGCTAAGATAAAAATGAAATGAAAAGTGAACCCATAAATGCTTACGGTTCATCCACATATGCTAGACGGAGGCCCTAGACGCAAAGACGGCAGCCGCAGAGTCGCCATGACACTTCGCCCTTACCTACATGGCAGCACGATGCCGCTGAAGACGCCCTCCACAGACCATCACTTTCCTTCTCAACCTTCTTATTCTAAGGCACTCGTGATCGCAGACCAAAAATGTAGCTACCGTGACAAATGCTTCTACTGTGACAAACACCTTTCTTTTATTCATACGAGGGTAAACACACCAACACACCTTCGCTTTTCAAAGTCCAGGCGACTGGCCGCCCCACTTACCGTCGTTCCGCAGCGTGAGCGGGGTCGGGGGGCTGAGCACTCGTGCGTTCGTCACCGTGTTTTTCACCAGACAAATATAACTGCCGACATCTGATGCTTGGACTTTAGAAATATAAAGGTTGCCTGTTTCCTGGGAGATGAACCTCCGGCTGTCTTCCGCCACGAAGGAAGGGAACTCATTAAACACCCAACTGTAGACGATCTCTGAAAGACACAACACGGAACTGTTGAAAGACACATTATTTTGCGAGGAGCAAAGTCCAAGGCATAGACACTTGGGCAATTACTTCAATATTGCGAGGACATCGCTGGCTGATGCAAACGCCTGTGATTTCAGCATTTAATAGTCGATGGACTTACATGAACGATTACAGAAATCCGCAATAGACTTGGGGAAGCTTGGTCGTTTCCCCTCATTCATCCCCCTGGTTGCAACGGGTGTACAGTGAGTGCTAGATGGTTGGCACTATGCTGAACACTGCAGTGAAGGAGGCGGCATTTTTTCCATTCTAGAAAATCAATTGAGCAGACGAAATTTATCCAAACTTATGGAACAATGAGGAAAGAGACAGAAACCGGTACTCTATAAAAATAAGGCACAGCGGAGAGGCGCTTCGGCAGTTGTGTTAACTAACAGAAATTATGAGTTAAGAAAAGACACCAAAACTACATTTTTCACTCATCTGCTCATCAAATATTGGCTGAGTGTCATGATTGGTCAGGGATTGCTCTGTGTGGAGGGGGAAAAAAAAGTCTGCATTTTCAAGGAGCTTGAAGAGCCAATAACACACAAGCACACGCCAAGCAGCGACAAGTGCTGTGAAGAAATCTAAAGTGTGTTAAGAGAGCTGGAGATGACAGGGCTGAGAGGAAAACGTGAATTCCTGGCGTAAACGCCTCTCGGATTGCGGGGGAGAGATGGCGGGGAGCAGGGAGTGGCCGAATGTCGGGGGTACTGTGCGCGCGCCTTCAGTGGCTCTTCAAAAGAGCCTTGGACTGACTGGATGGCATAAACGGTCCCACCAGAGTGGGCTTGCCAGCTGCGGTGCAACGGTGAGCAGCGACGGTTCCGGGGAAAGTGGCAGAGCCGAGGGGAACTGCTGATGGTGAAGGGGAGGAAAAAAGAGGCTTTGAGGCTGAGCGTGGGGTGCTGAGGGAGCCTGGACGAGCAGTGACGAGGGGAAACCACAGGAAGGGTTCTCAGGAGATGAGGGCTGAAGAAAGCCCGGAGTGTGGCTCTGTCAGATTAAATGTGACAGACCTTTCGGCACTGAGTGGGAGACATGGGGGAAATATTCGCGGATCTGAAACGGTGGCCAGGGCAGACGGGCGTGTTGTTGTGCACGTGGAGCTGGACGGCTGGAACCCGCCAGAGGCAGAGCGTCTGGCTAGTAGGGACTGCAGTCAGCGTGGGTGCACACAGCTCTTCGGATGAGGAGCTGGGCTGTCTGCAAGCGGCGTCCCGCAGTTCGGAATAACCAGAGAGCAACGCGCAGGGCAGGAGGTGGTGAGGGAGGAGGCTGGAGACACCGAAGACGCGCGGAACGACTCATCTCGGATTAGCACCACCGGCATGAGGTGCAAAGGAGCAGGCCGAGTCCTGGGCGTGCGGCCACAGCTGTTTTCCAGCAAGCGGTCACCACAGAGTGTGTCAGGCGTTTGCTCGAGACTGAGCGGAGATTAGACTTGGCGAGCGCCAGGCTGTGGCAGGGCAACCCCAGAGCAGTGCTGAACGCCGAAGGCGAGGGAGGGAGGACTCTGAGCCAGAGCCGTGGTCATAAGGGCGCTTCCTTGGTGCCAGAACTAGGCCAGTGGCGGGGTGAAGGGCGCAGGACACGCTCCCTGGAGCGACGGGGGAGTGAGCGCGCAGGACGCACCACGAAGGGGATGGGGAGAAGGGGCCCGACGGAACGGGCGTCTGAGGCTGAGGAGCGCGAGGCCGTCCCCGCGCTCAACAGGAGCCGCACATCCCACAGGCTCTGTCTGCGTGGAGGATGCTGGGTGGACAGCGGTCAGCCTCCTGGGGTGGCCGGCGATCAGGCTGGGACACAGAGCGCGGGCGGACCGAGAGCTAACGACGACATCTCGCAGGCTGGGCGGAAGGAACTGCCGGGAGAATCGGGCGCAACGGGGAAACGGTCGCAGACGTGCCGGCGTGGCCAGAGCGCCGTGACTCCGGCGGGGACAGAGCGCCCGCACAGCACACTGACCGCGGCCAGCGGCGTGTCCAGCGCTGAAGCCGACTTCACAGCGGCGCCGCGGAGGCCACAGAAGGCGGCAACAGGCCAACTGCAGTTTATTGTTGTTTTTAAGGGTTTCGGCGTTGCACTTGCAGTTTGTCAAACTTGTCGTGAGTTGTTACTGATTACTGGTTAGCAGAGCGTATGCCATGAGCACTGGGACTGGCTTGTGTCTTTACAACTTCACTATCTCCTTCCACTTCCCCCTTTTTATGAAGTAATCGATGTGAAGACACTGAATAGGGGAACTTTGTAAGATGTTGGCAAAACCAAATGGCCTAAGAGTAGACATAGACACTTCAACCATTCTGTTTTTAGAAAGTCTTCGCTGATGTTATTGTATTGTGTTTTGAAATTAGGAACATCAGAAAAGAAAAAAAAACAAACCCTAAGGGAATACAACTTGAGATCAGTAGGAAATATCTGTTTTACTTTATTGATTCAATATCTGCTCTGTGATAGAAAATGTCACTGCTGCTCATCACATGCTCTTGGTAGGTCAAAGCTGAATCTGATTTCTTCACCACCATATCCTTAGACCTAACAGCTGCTCAATAAATATTTGATGAGTAAATGAATGACGAGGACACACACACACAGACAGACACATTTATATATGGCTCTCTGAATTCTAAGAATGTGAGTGCAGGTTTTTCTTCACATTTTAAACTTTATTGTGAATTTATTGTAAAAGGTCTAAGATTGACATCATCAACGATGGCGTTTGAAGGTGGTCTAAATACAGACAGAGAAATAATGTAGGCAGTTTTAAGAATCTCTTGTACTGCCCGTGAGCACAAGGGAAAGGTCACCGCTGCAAAGTCATGATGACCTATTTTCATGATTTGTTCTATTAAGCAAACTGGGCTGAGGCTGAAAGGGCACAGTTCTAAGGTGACCCACCTCCTTCTCAGGTTAGCAGCCTCGGAGAGACTCAGTCATTTCGCTTCTGCTAAATATGGTCGCCGACGCTTCGCAGGGGCTGCTTTGGCAGCTCAGGTTAATAAATAAAGATAATTTCGGCTGCTAGATGTTGACAGAGATCAAGACGACTGGGAGCATCTACAAGCAGTGATGAATTATTGTATGTAAAATACTATTTAATGCTCTTCTGTCGACATAAGGTTTTCTGGGAAGGGAATTGATGTGGGAATTTGCCATGAGTCACAGGGCTAAAGGTCTACAGACCATGTGCCTTTGGGCAAACTATTTTACTTTGATAAATCCCTAGACTTTATGAAATGCAGTTCATGGAGGAAACTGTAGGTTGTAGGAGACATTCAGTGTAAGGTCAACAGAATAGAACCAGATGTAGTTACTACAATCATTATAATTATTTTGTCCACCAAAGGTCTGTGCTTCAAACAGCTGAAGGAACCAATGCAAAATTATAGATACTAAATGTCCAGAAAACATGCAATTTGTCTATTTACTCTATTAGGTTTACCAGGAGTTATATCACATCGCTTCCGTATTATATTCAGTTTTTCCGGGTCTCAAACTCAGTATCCATGAAATGGGCTAATTAAAAAGCTGTGCTGTGATCACACTTGCTATTTAAGGGAGATTCTTCAACACGCAGGGACTTCTCCACAAGGGTTGCCACAGTCTCACGAGAGGCGACTTTGCAGAATGTCAGATTTGGCACAACACAGAGTCACCTTGAGCTGTGTACAACTACTGACTTTCTGTATGTCACTATATGAATTTCAAGCGTCACGATTCTCACCTATAAAACATGGTCAGAAGCAAGGACTCCTACAGTAACCACAGGACAGAGCTGTCTCCCTGACCCGATGCTGAAAGAATCAAGGTATTCTTGAAGATGCTGTGAAGAACCAGCCGAGAGTACCACCTTGTGTGAACTATGGTTTTGCCTTGCTCTATGGTTGGGTTGGGTTGCACATTAAATTTTAGTCATCTGAGTTGAACAAAACAAAGTACTAATTCTCTTATTTATTTATTTATTTTTGTTTATGTTTATGTTTTTGAGAGATGTATTTTCATTGTTACCTGGCATCAGAAGCAGTCGAGTTCTGCTTCCAAATTATGTCACCGAGACAAAAATAAAATTTTATGTGCATATAATTCAATTCAGCAAAACAAAACAAAAAATAAAGAATATTTACACTAGAAACTCAGGCTCCACAACTCACATACTCCAAGTAAGTCAAAGGCAGGCCTGGAGGTCAAACGATGCACCCCTGGTTCCAGGCTCTGGTTGCTGTGTTTGAGGAGAGTTTGGTTACACAGAGCGTCCTTCCAGGAGCCCCAAGTCTACATGGAAAGGTCACCGCTAGCTCTTCAACATGCACCCTAAATTCTGGCTCTCCTCGGGGGTTAACTAGCTGACTGGATTGGAAACTCATCCCGCCCTCACAGCATCCACTGAGCTCTGTGTGGGCAGCGGCACAAGTTCAGCAAAGGCCTTGACCCGGCCACACCCTTCGTCCAGCCCTCATCACCAACAGCAGCATTTCTGAGCCCCCCAGGCACGCCGGGGACTGGGTCAACGAAGAGCTGGCCAAGGTTATGAAGAAGGCACGCTCAAGGAAAGACACGCAGGGAGGACCGCGGCAGAAATGCACAGCCCACCCCTCGGACACGCGGAGGGAGCTAACATCCACCGCTTCACGTGAGGATGTCAGATTAAAATGACACAGCCCCTCTTGGTGGGCGGAATGAATTATTGTCACTATCGTCATCTGTCTGGATTTTACTTAGCAAAATGTTATCTTTAGCCAGTGGGCTTGTCTGTTTTTTTAAGAATTATTTATTTATGCACACAGAAATGGGGTACAGGCCAGAGGTGTAGGGGCGATAAGAGGATTCACCGGGGACAGAGTGGGGAGCAGCGGGGAGACAGGAGGGGTCTGCTGCACCCTGGCGGGGATCGAACTCGCCCTGAAGCAGCCGCAGCTACCTTGCAGTGCTGCGCTTTAACCCGCTGCGCCACCAGGGAGGG